GCTGTACTTCTTCCAAGACCTTAAGTTGATACATGCTACCAAATAGCTGTCCATTTGGAAGTTGTACTGATGGACCCTCCCTCAGGAAATTTATGAGTGCTCAGCTTCCTTTTAGGAAGTATCTCTTGCTTGAAGGGTCTACCATCTTATAATATTTTATCTGAAATATACCTCTGAGTTAGTTTGTGCCACCCTGGCCGATAATCACATGTGGGGCTAATTGAAAGGCGGAGGGATAAATGGGTGGTGAGCCTTGCCTTTCTAGCTCTCGGGTCTCTTGCTTTGTGATGGTCGCACCAGGGAGCAGCTTCCTTAGCAGTTCCCTGCTTCAGCTTGCAAGATTGACTTCCTACAAGACATCCCCAAGGAGAAGCCACATGGACCTATCCCGATGCAGCCCTGGGTGCTGGAGCAGCCGTGTGGAGACCCCTGCTAGTGCTGAGATGCTTATTCGTTCACTGACTCAGCTTTCCTCCTGTAGTCGGCGTCATTGCCTCTGTTTTGTGAGGTGGAGGACTTTGTGGACTGGTGTTGGGTTAATGGGTTAATGTTGGATTTGTGTGCTTGGGCAGCATTGGGTTGGGATGTTTTCATGATGCACCCTTTCTTTACATAAAACTCTCTTATACGTGAGTTGCTGTGGATTTGTTTCTCTAAAGTACCTAGACTAATACAACCTCATTGCAATTTCTACCCACCTTTGTCATTTTCACTTGCTGGGGCTCCACATTCTGGCTCTGTGTGGACATCTTCTTTGTATCTATTCTTGGTGTGTCAACTCTCCTGTGAGCTAGAAGAATGAATAACGAACCACATTCCGTGGATGATGGTGGTACTCATCTCAGGGAATGAGCTAGGAGCAGTTAGGCTGTGGATGCTTATATAGTCAGTCGCCAGGCCTCTATGTGAAGCAGGAAGAGGCTGATTTTAAGGTTTCAGTCCCTTAGAGCTGGCAACTCACTACTAGCCAGGGCTCCTTATTTTTAAAAATATGTTTAAAAAATCTAACAAATAGCTTGTAAATATATTTACCCTGTCACTTAAAAAATAAGTTTAAAAGGTTCCCTTTGAGATTTATTTCTCTGCATTTATGTAGACACCCATATGTATGTAAATTAGGCTGCATCTATCCTAAAATTTGATTTTTTAAAAACTCCAAATACCTCTTAGAAATTCAACTCTGTTCATTTAATTGATTTTCCACCTCATTCTTTTTGGCGGCTGCAAATTATCCCATTGTATGATTACATGGTAACGATTTATTTATCCTCTTACTTGCTCATTTAAAGCTGTTTCAAATTTCCAATTACAATTAATTCTGCAGCGAACATCCCTTTGTGTACATGTGTAAGCATTACTCCACTGATAAAAGTGGAATTACTACATCCTACACTGTTTTACATTCTAATAGCTTCAGTCCAAATCCAAACCCAACCCAGCAACTTGCTGGGATTCTAGGTCAGAGGAGGGTTCCCGAGGCTCTAGATCTTCCTGGTGACAGGCCGCCTCACTGTGCTCCACGGAATTGCCTGGTGGGTCTCACTGCTGACCTCTCCGGCAGCAGCTGAAGGCTTTAGCCACTGTGCCACGAAAGGCCCTGGCTGCTGCCAAGTTGCCTTCTGACGTTGATGTTCCAATTCCCACTAATATTACTGTATGGTGTACCTGTTTCTTGATAGTCCTCATGATGCAGGATATATGAAACTTAAAATTATTTGCCATACTTATGGGTAATAGTTTATGATTATTCTAATATGCACTTCTCTGGTTACTAACAACAATGAGCAACTTTTCATGCTCATTGACTCTTTCCATTTTCTGTTACTTGCTCATATCCTATGCTGATTTTCATCTTTTTAAATCTTTTATTCATTTGTAGAAATTTTTTATATATTCTGGACACTAATCTTTAGTCTGTAATAGGTGCAAATATTTTCTCTCAAAGAGCTTTTAAATAACAGATTCCATCACCTTATCTTTTCTTGGTATGAGTCAACAACATTTTCACATCTCTTTGCAATACAGATTGGTAACACTTTATACAAAGGATCTTCCCTAAGAGGTTTTATGATTTAAAACTATTCATAGTCATAAGCTCACTTGTCTTTCTGTTTGTCAGTGGTGGCTTTAGTATTGATGTGATGCTGGAAGCTATTCCCCTGGTATTTCAAATACCAGCAGGGTCACCTATGGTGAACAAGTTTCAGCGGCGCCCCCAGACTAAGACCAGAGTAGGAAGAAGGAAGAGTCTGTCCAGTTCTGAAAAATTAGGCCCTGAGAACCTTATGAGTAGTCATAAACATTGATACGGTGCTAAAAGATGGGCTCTTCGGAAAGGCACTCCGAAGTCTACTTGGGAAGAGCTGCCTCTTCAAAGTGAGTTGACCTTATACCATGTGGATGGGGCAAAGCTTTTCAGGACCTTCGTTTGCTGAAGGGCATGATTCAAAATGAGAAGGAACAGCTGCAAACATCCATTAATAAAAGGGACATGGATTGCGTGACATATGAATAGATCAATGAATGCTATGGGGTATGGAAGAAGTCCAGAGGCCTAGAGATAGCTTGGTAGTTTGAAGATAAAGAAGCATTTCTAACTCCTTTGCTTCAGTGCCACTAAATTTGGGCAGACTTTGAAGCTTTTGTTGGGATGGGGATTTGGGAGGAATATGGAAAGACAGGTCTTTGGCAGGTAGCTGGTTCTTCTAATGTGTGGGTGTCGTCTCGAACACTAAGATTTGTCATCTCTGGGACACTAAGATACCATGGTTGGTACCATTGTAACTCACTAAAGTGGTTAAGATTAAAAAGGCCGACATTAGCAAGTCCTACCAAAGATGTGCAGCAACTGTAAGTCTTGTGCATTTGCTGATGGGTATAAAATGGCCCTAATACTTTGGAGAACTATTTAACAATGTCTTATAAGGTTAAACATAAATCTCCATCATACGCAGCAATTGCATTATTTTCAGTCTTTCCCAGTGAATTGAAAACCTAGGTCCACAGAAAGACTTGCAGATGAATCTTCACAGCTACCTTATTTGTATTAGCAACATTTGAATGTCAAAATGTGTCTCTCAATGGAACACAAGTAAACCACAGACTAGTCACAGACTGGAGTCCTGTCATTGTGGGTTCCTGTCAAATTGTCTTTGACTCACAGTGACTTCGTGCATAACACAAAACAAAACAAAACAAAACAAAAAACCAGCAAAACTTTGCCTAGTGCTGTGCCATCTTCTTTACTGTCGGCGAGCTTGTGCCCGGCATTGTGGCCACAGTGTAGTTGAGTACCTCTCAACCTCGAGGGCTCGTCTTCCAGCCCTGTCTTCCATGGTTTTCTATCACAATCTGTGGGGTTTCTGTTGGCTAATGTTTACAAGTAGAGCGTTGGCAGTAGTTCACCAAGCCTATCTTCTTAATCTGTCTCAGTGGGTAATCTTGCTGAAACCTGTTCACCATGAGTGACTCTGATGGTATTCAAAATATCTGTGGCATAGCTTCAGCACCGCAGCAACATGCAAGCCACCACAGTACGCCAAACTGACAGATGACTGGTGGCAATGGTATGCTATCCGCAGTAAAAAAGAGGACCATACAATAGATAAAATAACGATAAATATTAAAAAGTATCATTGAGTGAAAGATGCCAAGTACAGAAGTATGATTTCATTTAGATAAAATTCAAGGACAAGCAAAATGAATTCAGGGAAATAGAAATCAGATAACAGTGTGCCTCTGGAGTAGAAGGGGGGAGCTGGAATTGACTGGGCAGGGCGCAAGGGAAATTAAAATGGATAAGGGCAATGCTCTACATGTTTGGTGACATGAGTGAATACAATAGTCAAAACTCACCCAATTGGATATTGAGGATCTGTGCACTTTATTGCATAAAATTATGGTTCAATAAAATGTTTATTGAATAGATTTTTTAAAATGTGATGGTTTATCCCCCCCTCCATTTCATATTTATCAGGATTGACACCTTCTGTGATGCTAAATGATGTACCATTTTAGTTGCATATCAGGGTTCTTACCATGCAGTCTGTTGATAGTTTTCAATGACTCCATGAACCCTGTGAAATTGAATGAGCAATTTTGCTTGTATATATGCATGTTCTACCCCCACCCCTGCCACTGTCCCCGTGCAACAGGTTCATAGGCATCATCATATTCTCTAAAAGGTCTGTGACCCCAAACATCTAGAACAGAACCTCTGTATCAGATGGCTCAAACAGAACGGATCAAATCATATCAGCAGTTAAATATGAATACATGACCAACTGTTCCCCTGGTCAAGGAACCGAGCCTCTAACAGTATGCAGAGTAAAGTTGGCAGATGTTAGTGGGCTTCATGAGACCAACAAAAATTAGGCTAACCTTCTGGCTTGAAAAATGGATCAAGTCCTGCTAAAAATAGCAGGCAAATACAGTGTGCCACAAAAGAGCTTTAAATTAGATTGATAGAGGTGGAGGCTGGCGGGGGGTGGTGGGG